TGGCTTATTATCGGCCGTCCCTGGACTGGCACACACAACACACACATGGTGGGTAGCTCTACCCCCCGTTTTCCCCTGCCACTGCATGCCTAGCAGTAGCGCTGTGATAAAACTTCATCGCTCCAACGCACTGATGTGCGTAAAAAAATGTATTAATCGTTATATGGACAAGATTAGGGGTCGTGGGACACACCTTTTTCCCCTTACTTATTCTACCTGCCCACACGGCACACCCCACACCCTTGGGGATCCATTCCGCGTGTTTTTATATGAACCACATTGTCTGATCACCGTTACGAGGTGCACCAGTTATTTGAGAAAAAGGGAGTAGTGAAACCTTCTCTTACCACATGTTTCTTCCTACACACCCATTTGCATGCACACAAGAAAGGCACCAAAAAAAAAAAAAAATTGACAGTTTAATGGGGGAGTGTCTAAGGCGTTGTTAAAATTAAAATTCGCGGTGGGATGATTGAGGCGGGGGGGACGGAACGCGCATTGCTCATGGCAAGCCGCCCAAGTGACGACCGCGCACAGGAAAAAAAAAAAAAAAAAAAAAAAAAAAAAATTCACGGCCGAGTGCTATACTCTTGATATATTTCCAAAATTAACTCCTTCAACAGGGGAGGAGTGAATACTGTCCTCAGGGGATTTTCATCAATCATCTGCTTCTGGTAACACTCGCATATAAAGCAGTACAGGATGGTGTCCGTCAGGGTGGACACGATGGTGATGAAGTGGGAGGTTATCATCCCGCACAGCACTCCGATCGTCTGCGAGGAGGGGGGGAAGCAGTTGCGGGTAGGTAGCTCGTACGCAGGTGAACTCAGCAGACGTATGTACAAATATGGGGGTGCATAGTTACAGACACATGCGCGTCCCACTTACGAGTGCCGCAAAAAACGGGTTGGGGATAAAATTGGGCGAGAATAAATTGCCATATCGCTCAAAATTGTTGAAAATCTGGAAAGGGGCCAAGGAAAGGAGAGGGAAAATCGAAACAATGGTGGAACACGCGGTTGTTGCAGCGTTGACTGACGTGAAAAGAAACTCCGTCCTTCCATCTATTCATGTATCTATCCAGCTAGCTATTTTTTTTTATTTTTTTATTTTTTTTTTTTTTTTCTACATTGAACGAGAGAAAAGTCACCCCTAGGGTTGTGAGACACGGGAATATGATGTTAACAATGTAGGTTATCTGCGGGGGGGGGGGGCCAAAAGAAAAAGAAAAAAACGCAAATGTGTACACTATGATGATGGCCCTTTTTTTTTCTTTTTTTCCCCTGAGACCCGTTCTCCTTACCCCATGCAAAGACGCCGCTGGTGAAGTCGAGTTTATTAACTTTTTGGACGACGTGCTGCAGGCGAATAGGTATGGGTAAGACGTCATGGACATCTGCAAAAAGAGAAAGACCCCAATAATGGGAGGGCCATATATGAGCTAAAACGGTGGTCTCTTGCAGATCGAATTTGCAACACATTATATTCCAGAGTGCAGTTTAGAAGGGGAAGCCTTTTTTGCAGTCCTCCCCTCCCCGTAGTTACATATCTCCTACTAGGCCAACCGACTTACCTCGCAGTATGCAGCCATCGTGTGCGTATCAATTAAATTTGAAATGGGTCTTAAAAACAGGGCTGCAATGCGGAGTTGGGGGGGGCATTGATTCACGTACGTGTGCTATGCGGTTATGCTGCGCCGCCAGGCATGGGTGCCTCCACTTTATGTGCATATTCACGCATGGGTGTGCGTGGGTGCCTACCGAACTGCTCCTTCAACTTGTAAATCGACTGGCTATAGAAGAAGGGAAGAGACAGAGTGCTGTTCGCCCAAAAGAACAGCACGCGAAGGTACTTGCTGCATAGGTTGATAAAGCTCGATAGGATCAAACTGCCCAAGTGGTAATTCAGTATTGTCTCTGCAGGGGGCAAAGGGGCGAATCGTGAGTGTACCAACATCTATACATATCTGCGTCGCACTGATATGTTCCGCGCGTCGTTGTTTCCCCGGAACCCAATTGCGAAGGGTAGTATTACTCATGGTGGCTTGGGCACTGAGCTTGTAGTTGACGCTATTCTTGTCGCAGAAGTACCAGACAGCCCCTGCAAAAGGTTGACATGTACGCAGGTGTTATTGCACACGCGATGAAGCGCTTTTAAAAAATTCGAAGCGCGTTCCCCACGCCTCGTCTGAGTGACATTCCTTCTCTACCTAAATAACTTATGGTGAACTGGTTGAGGGACTGCAGGATTTCACACACTAAGAAGTAGGTGTATATCCAGAATCTGTGGTGCACAGGCGGAACGTTTTGTGGGTGGGGAACACATATATATATTATCTTCGCCAATCTGCATGTGTGCAATTTGTACATATATCCACATTACACTGCACGCACTCGTGCGCGTTCGGATCGTACGTCCCTCCTCTGCTGCAACGCCCTACATGGAAAAAATGTGCGAGCTCCTAAAGTACTGGAAGACCTTGTGCAGGGACACAATCTCGCTATTTCCATTCGAGTCCAATTCCAATTTTAGCTACAAACAAAAAAAAAAGGCAACGTGTGTATTCTGTCCTGCACACAGTTTGGTGTCCCATATGTTGCAGAACAGCCCAGCCGGGCCCCGTTTTTCACCTGAACGGGCAATTATGTAACACAAAAAAAAAAAAAAAAAAAAAAAAAAAAAAACAGCTAGCTGGCCCCTTAGCTGTCCGTATGGCTATCTGTTCAGGTAAAATGTGGCATTTAAATTTCAGCCAGAGACAACAAAAATTTACCCTCTGCTCGTGAGACGTCCCGGCAGTCATCACATAAATGTATCCATACATCCACAGAAAAAACCAGGCGACCGAAGCAACCGAAATGATGCAAGGCGCATAAAGCAGATTGGACATACTATTCACAAAGTCCAAAGTGACAGTGATTAATCTGTGTGTGTACTTATATGTATTTCTATACAAGTACAAGACGAAGAGGAAGATAACTCCATGAGCTAGCAAACCAAAGCACACAAAAATTGACACTAAATAGTGATACGAAAAAAAAGATCCCTTAATGGGATGAAACAGGAGGTACAAATGCTTGTGGATAAAGTACACAGGATAAAATAACATGGACACGCTGAAAAGAAATAGCGCCAAGTGCACGCTAAGAGGAGACAAATAGTACATACAACACAAGTAAATAACACACAAAAAAAGAGAAAGAACAATAAAAACAAAAATGTATACGAAAGAATTATTGAAGGAAAATAAATTCACAAACACTTTGTACCTATCTGTAAATACTACATTTAAAACCTTCTCTCGTAACCCTTTATCCAATGGATAGCATATGTTCATAATATTAACCGTATCGTAGTAGGGCGAAATTAAAGAATATTCTACGTACAAATTGTTGTTTGTACTTTTCGTGTAATCGCCGTACACCACGTTCGTTCCTTTGTTGCCTTGTCTGTCCATAATTTGTTTTGGTTTTTTTTTTACAAAAAAGGAGGTGTACGAGGAGGACGAAAAGGGAGGGTTACCAAAGTAACTTGCCTTTTCTTTCACCCCTACACTTTCATTGTGATCTGTCCTTTTGCTATCTTTTTCCTTCCTCATTTTATTCTCCACATCCGATGTGGGACACGACTCCAGACATTTCCCATACTTGTTCAGTACCTCCATTGTGGACAGTTTAGGAGACAAGGGGAAATACAAATACGGGTGATTCTTCATATCCCTCCCACAGATTTTCCCACTGTAGTTTGTCCCATATAATACACGCGCATAGTTTCCATGGTACAGGTAACAAAGCATACAAAGTGTGAGGACTAACATGTAGGCAAAAAAGTATGCAGCATATTTATGATCTGTGTGTGTCCTTCTGCTTCCCTGAGCGTGATCATATTTTGTGTGACTCCCTCCAATGTGCTCGCCTTCATTTCCAACCATGTATGTTAGGGGCATGCCCAGAGGTACTTGCTCATTTGGGCCCTCCCCAATGTTTATGCTGCCGTACGTGATGTCATTTCCGTACATGTTGCTCAACTCATGTGCTCCTACTATGCTTCTGCTGGGCATCAGGCCTGTCCCGTCCACCAGGGCCTCGTACTCCCCCCTGCTCGCCGCGTCACCGTGGTTCATGGGAAGTACGAAGCGGGCGCAAACTGTTGGGACCGCCGCCTGACGGAAACTATATCTGACCAAGGGAGCTCTACCACGCTGCTACGTCGCCACGATGCTATGTCACCACGCTGCTGAGCGCCTAAACTTGAAGCGGGAGAAAGCCACCCCCCGTGTTGCCAAAACCGCGGGTATAAAGTCACAGGTTGGCAACAATCCGTGTGTCTCATCACCCCCTAGTGGGCGCCGCACAAGCGTTGCGGTGGGGGATTTGCAGGTCCTGGGGGGAATTGTTTGGACATGGGCGGTGTGGATATGTGTGCGCGCGCATGTAGATATTGATGTATGCTCACTTGTGTGTTATATATTTTTTTTTTATGCATTTTTTTATGCGCATTTTTGTGTACGCATTTCTTTTTTTCTTTTTGTGTAGCGACCGCGCAAATTCATTTTAACCTGACCTTGGTTAGACGATTTATAGAGTTATGTTTCTCCTCCTTCGCCGTGACACGTCTGCGACGCTGTCCGTTTTCTAAGACCCTTCAATGCTGTACTAACTCAGTTAGTTTGACGTTGGAGGCGCCCTTTTGCGTTTGGGACAGAAAAAAGGGACAGCCGCAGGGAAGCACTTTCAATGTAGGAAATTTATTTGCCCCTTTGGTAATATACACCCCCCCTTTGCGCTTTTTTTTTTTTTTTTTTTTTGATCAAGAGCTGTGTTGTGAAATTGCTAAAGTGCCATATGTAGAAAGCGTTAGGGGGTGCACTCATTGGTTTATTTTTTTCTTTTTTCTTTTCCTCCCCCTACACTTCACGTCTATGTGTGTGGTTATGTGTCCACGTGGCACACGCAGCCCTGTATGTAAAGTATGCGTGACGCTGAGGCATGCGTGGGCACTGAACTCGGCCGTAGCGGCTAGTGGTTACTCATTCGAGGATGATCCACAGGCAGGTTCCCCATACGTGGGTATGCCGCCTCACACCTCCTCACTTGTGTAGAAATGCACATGTGCTCATCCTTGCACGCGCATCCGCCGATCTGACTGCAATGTTTTTTTTTTTTTTGACGCTTCCCCCCATAAAGGGGATATATTATTTCTACTTCCAACCCAACAAATGTATGACCCTCCTTCCCCTGCACAATACAGGCAGGTTGAAAACATTTGCATAAAAAATATTTTTTTTTAAATGTCCCAGGAAGAAACCTGGGCGCCATAAAAAAAGCTACAGTTTCAATTTGCGCACATACAAAGTGTGTGGGACAATTAAACTTTTTTCCTTTACGTTTGTAAATAGCAGCACGGTGAAAAATAGTACATGGTTATAAGAAAAAAAAAAAAAAAAAAAAAAAAAAGGACATGACATGACATGATATGAGAGGAATAAACGGCATCCACCTGGAAGAGGCATATTATAGGGGGTGGTGGGGGTTATAAAAAAAACCCTGCCCACCTGTTACCTATATTGTTTCCTTACTTCTTCACCGTCTTTTTAACCTTCTTGGCTTTCTTCTTCTTGTCTCCTTTGTTGCTGCTGTCCTTCTTGCTCTTCAGCAAGTTCATCTTCTTTTTCAATTCCCTCTTGGCATGGTATATCTGGAAGCGTTCATAGTCGGTGGCCAAATCTCTTTTCTTTTTAATGGTCAATTTTTTACCCAAACTTGACTTTTTAAACTCTCCTAAAATGTTCGTGCTTTTTATGGTCTTCTGCAGAAATCCTGTTTTGCAATTCTTGTTGATCTTAATTCTTTCCTTTAACAGTTTCAGCCTCTTCAGGGGTATAACCATTCGAGGAACGCTGCGCAGGAAGGGAAGGGGAGGGTGTATATATACATGACAAAATATGCACAGCAATAATGCTCAGGGGGGGGGGTTGTTTCCATATGGGGGGATAATGCTCACGACTGACACCCAATTGGGCACATCAACTGCGCCTTTTCACAGCCGACCATCCTATTAGCGCTATTTTTTATTACCCTGTGAGGAAGGCTCCATCGACAATGACTCGGGTCAGCGTCACGATATCCACGATGAAGCAGAGCTGGGAAAAAAAAAAAAAAAAAAAAAAAGGAGTGAAAAATCAGCAGCAACGATATTTTATAATCGCACAAGGCTAGGCAATTGCGCACATGGGCAATCAAGTACAAAGTGAACATGCAATTTTTCCATATGTGAATGGGAAAGCACAGCATATGGCTGCTTCGCCAAATGCGCGTGAGAGAGAAAGAGAACAATACCTTTCCTGCATAGGGACCATACTCAATCAAGCACAGCCTTCCGGGCTCAACAAACCTCTTAAAGAGGAGGTCCTTGTTTTGGATGTTCAGTTGTTCCTCCTCAGTCAACTCGACGCGCGGCATTTTGCGATACACTCGGGAGAGGGGCACACGATTGGTAATAAATTATGGCTTAAGGATTAAGCGCTTGGGGGAACAGTTTTTAAAAACACGAGGGGATAACGTGAATGAATAAAAAAAAGAGGGTCAAACCCAAAAAAGGTAAACGCGCGGGGACTGGAAACTAACTTGGGAAATTTTCTACATTAACAAAAATATCGAAGTGGCATAAAAAAAAAGAAATAATAAAATGTTAAAATGAATTTTTTTTTTTTTGTTTTTTTTTTTTGTGCATCGCAAGTGGAGTTGCAGAATTGTTTTACCAAAGTTATATATATATAAATATTATTGTATTATTATGCCGCCGCAAGGGAGGGAAAAAAAAAAAATTCAGTTCGCTATGCATAAAAAAAGCAGGGCGACAATGAACCGAGGACTGAGATTTGGGTCTCCTGACCCCAAACAAAAACGCGCAAAGTAAGTATAGCGCGTATGCTACTACCTATATATAACAGTAATACGTACCCCACGTGACAGTGCTACATATACGCCATTGTGCTTTTCCCCTTCATAGGCGTATTGGCATGCTGCGCGCAGTTCCCCCACTTATTGGTGGGTCAAGGGTATTTTTGGCGCCCCTCTATATATGGCACCGCGAAGTAAGCGCACCCGCAGAGGTATAAATGTATTATGCGACCCTGCGCGATTTTACGTGGTTTGCTTTAAAAAAAAAAAAAGGACAAAATACTTAGCATATATTATGCGTAGCGTGTTACGTACTGCGTTGGAACTATGCCCTGCCGTGTATATGTAATAACAATAGCTTCCCCTCATGCGGGAATTAAAATGCGCCGCACAATCACGTAAAAGCGACCTGCACGTCCGCCTGCGCAGCGGTCTCAATAATATTCGCAATGGCTACGCTCTTCTGCGCGGCGAGGTTCATGTCCTGGCAAAAAATGCACTTGACACCCGACTGACGAAGCAGCTCCTCCGCCTCGTCCTGGTTTGTCCCCTCCAGCCTAATTATAAGTGGCTTCCCAAAGGCAGTATCTTTAAAAGCCTTTATAATGCCCCTCGCAATGATGTCGCACCTCATAATGCCCCCCAAAATATTAATGAAGCATACCTTGGCCTTAGCATTATTGTTAATAATTCGTAAAGCCTCTGTAATTTCATCCTCCGTTGCCCCACCACCAACATCTAAAAAGTTAGAAGGCGAACCGTTATGCAGAACGATCAGATCTAATGTAGCCATAGCTAGCCCTGCCCCATTTACCATACAAGCAATATTCCCATCAAGGGAAACATAATTTAAATTGAATTTCTTGGCTTGTATTTCTTCTGCATGTTCTTGTGACAGATCTCTCTGCTCAAATATTTCCTTCTGTCGGTACTCCGCATTGTCGTCAAAGTTTAGCTTGGCATCACAACACAAGACTCTTCCATCGTTGGTCTCAGCAAATGGGTTAATCTCCAGCAATGTACAATCGTATCGCTTAAAAATTTTATACAAATTAGCTATTATATCTGTGGCAATATCCAACTCTGTATTTTTGAACCCAATCTTTTCACAAAATTCACGTGCCTGACCACTAGTGAACCCATTCTGTACATCTATACTCATTTTGTGTATAGCCTCGGGATTCCTTGTGCTAATTTCTTCAATAGAGGAACCTCCTGTCGATGATCCAAGGAGGACTATCCCATCAGAACTTCGGTCCAGTAAAAAAGCAACATACCTTTCCTTCCTTATGTAAAAACGCTCGCATATAAAAACAGTGTTGCACTTCTTTCCCTCCTCTCCTGTCTGCTTTGTAACCAATGTATTGTTTAACATCTTAGACGCTATTTCTTTCACTTCTGTACTGTTACGACAGATGTGAACTCCTCCTTCGAAATTGTTTTCTTTAAAGTACCCTACTCCTCTTCCTCCACTCAGTATCTGTGCTTTGATCACCAAGTCCACGTCTCCACAAAGGCTTTGTAGCTCCAGTGCCTTCTCCTCCGCTTCCTCTGCAGTTTTCGCTGCGTACCCTTGTGAACAGGGAATCATATTCTTTCGCAACAGGTCAATTGACAAATACTCGTGGAGGCTTAGGTGTCGTTTAGTGATGAGGGCGTGGTGGTATGTCATTCCTGAGCGGATTGTCCACTTGTTTCTTCCATTATTTAAAGATGTGCAATGACTCATGCTCCTCCGCAGCTTCAGAATAAATTTCGTTTCCCTCCTCAGGTTCATCATTCTTTAGGCTTTTCCTTTCTTGTGTGTAAATTATTTGGGCTATTCCTTTTTTTTTTTTTTTTTCCTTTTCTCCCCAAATGAGCACACAAACGCGATGTGGCTATATGTACACGACTGACACTCGGGGTTGGGAGAGAGAGAGAAAAAAAAAACACCCCTTCTGGCGGCACACCAAATTGTAAGGGGTTTCTCTTCAAGGGGGAGGTTACCGCGTTAAGTAAAAAAAAAAAAATTACATAGTTGTTTTGTGTGCTTTTTTATATGTGAACTACACAGAGTTAATTGAATTCCTCTTCATCCCCTTCCTTTACCCATTTGGAGGTCAAACCAAATGTGTCGCTCTTGTGCAACACAAGAGGGGTCTCACACAGAGCGGTTAATTTCCCTCTCGTAAAAACTGCACATAGGGCCCACTTCCTCTGGAGAATGCTTCTTCAGCCGCTCCGTGCAGACGCATGCGTCGTTTGGTTTCTTTCCCCTCTTCGGGATTTAAGCGGTTGTGTGACTCCGTCCGTGTGTCGCTCCGTTGCCACGCTTCCGCGTTGCTGCGCAATTTTTTGACCCCTCACGCAGTTGTGTTTAACTCTGTGCGCGTCGCAAGCGGGGGTGAATAAGCCATTGGTGAGTCTTTCTATCTCCAAACCTGTATATCGCAAAATTGTAAATTTGTAAATGTGTAAATTTGCAAACCTGTAAAATTGGCATATTGGGCATGTTTGTGAATTTTTTTTTTTTTTTTTTTTTTTTTTTGGCTACTCGTCCATTTTGCCTGAACGGGTCAGCTATAAAAAAAAAGCAGAGCCACGAGACCTCAAAAAATGGAAACGGGCATACGCACATGGTACGTACGCAATCATGCCGCTTGAGAACTGCAGAAGCTTCCTCACTGTGAGCTTTTCCGAAGAGAGGAAATTTTAAGTGTCGGTGGCACGTTCGCTATGTGCAGAGGGGGAACACACGGAAAAAACCACAAAGCATAAAAAAGAAAACGAAAGAAAAAAAAAAAAAAGTAAAAGCAAAAAAGGAAAAGGCAAAAAAGGAAAAAGCAGAAAGAGAATAAGCAAAAAATGAAGAAGCAAAAAAAGAAAATGCGCAAAAGGACGTCAGCGCGACATGACAAGATAACAAAATTGTGCATCGTTGTAGTGGCCACGTGTGCATAGTATGCGCGCAGAACGGGTCTTCCCTTCCCGTGCCGTCGTGCACACACACACACACGTATTCGTGTCGCCGTCCACATAGTATGCTATGTTGCGCGGGGAAGCGAAAAGCAGAGCGTGATCCTCCCCCCAGTACCGCAGCCCAGCAACCATGCAACAGGACAGTAAGCGCGGTGACCTTCCCCCTCTACCGCGCTAAGTCGCATTTTTTTTACCCCCCCCTTTAAAGCTCACCACTGGGCATGTTCCCCTTTTTTTGTTTTTTTTTTTTTTTTTTTTTTTGTTCCCCTCGCAAGGGGCATCCAAGTGGCCAACAAAAAATCTTGCAAAATTGTGAGGCGCCAACCAAGCGAGCAAATACTTGTAGGAAATTTTACCTACCCCTGCGCACATGGTTTAATGTGGGGGACATGTGAGATGCCTCTTCCCATACCACTTCATGGCGACACCGAGCAAGTGAGAAGGGGAGCGTATCCTTCATCTCGCGAAAGCCAGAGGTTAAGTTGGCATAACAATTTCTCTCCTCCCCTGATTTTACGCCCACGTTTTACCTACACACACAGTTACACATATGCACAGTTGTCCAAAGTTGGTTCCCCTCGCGCAGTATCGCATCGAGGGCACACAGGAATAGTTTTGTCTGAAGTGAATAAACTGCCAAGGGGGGAGAAATGCCCAGCAATTTTACCAGAGGTTTATAAACCCATTTGGGGGATTTGCTTCCGCATTTTTTTGTTTTTCTCTGGCTAGGAGAATTTGACCAGGGGGAGGTGGGATACGGTTTCACTGGCACCACTCTGTCGCTGTACCGCTCCATCGCTGTGCTGGTCTACCGCGCCCCCGTCCATGAGCGAAAGATGAGGAAGGAAGGACAGCAAAGCAAAGACGAACAGGTAGACGAAAGTGTACTCAAGAAATATGACATCGTGAGGAAAATAGGAAAAGGGGCATACGGGATAGTGTACAAGGCCAAGTGTAAAAGGAACAGAAAAATTGTCGCAGTGAAAAAAATTTTCGGTGCATTCCAAAACTCTACGGATGCGCAAAGGACATTTCGTGAAATTATGTTTCTGTATCAACTGAATGGACATGACAACATCATCACCCTCATGGACGTGATAAAAGCAAAAAATGACAACGACATTTACTTGGTGTTCGATTATATGGAGACGGACTTACATGAAGTGATAAAAGCAGATCTGTTAGAAGAAATTCACAAAAGATATATCATTTATCAGCTATTAAGAGCACTCAAGTATATTCACTCAGGGATGTTGCTCCATCGTGATATAAAACCCTCAAATATTTTACTCAACTCTGAATGTCACATCAAGGTTGGAGACTTCGGATTAGCCAGAAGTATATCTGCAGAACTAAGTGAAAATAAAATTCCCGTCCTAACTGATTATGTAGCTACCAGATGGTACAGAGCCCCTGAAATTTTGTTAGGAAGTACCAACTACACTGAAGGGGTTGACATGTGGTCTCTTGGATGCATCATGGCAGAGCTGCTACTCGGGAGACCTCTTTTTAGAGGCAACTCCACCATGAACCAACTTGAAAAAATTATACAAGTCATTGGCAAGCCAACCAAAAAAGACATGGAAGATATTAAGTCACCCTTCACAGATACCATCATTTCCTCCTTTGTTGATGTTAAGAAAAAAAACTTCTCTGAAATTTTCTCCAAAGCTTCTGTGGAGGCACTTGACCTGCTTAAACAACTTCTACAATTCAATCCCACCAAACGGATCAGTGCAGAGAACGCTCTGAAGCACAAATACGTGGAGCAATTCCATTCCATTATTGATGAACCCCGGTGCAAACACATCATCACCATCCCTGTGGACGACAGCACCAAGTACCGAGTCAGCTTCTACAGAAATATTGTGTACTACGACATTATGCGCAGGAAGAAGTATCATCCTGGTGGGCGCAGCTTTGAGGGGGTGGAAAAAAAAAAAACGGCAGATACTACTCCCTTGCGTCGCTGCATCAACAGTGCCGAGTCCCGGATAAGTCCCCATGAGGAAGACAAACAAAGGGAAACGCTCCCCACCACTGCAAGCACCACCAGCAAGGGCAAGCCAAACTCAACCGCAACGCCAAAAATGGAAGGGGAAGGCGTAACCAAGATCACCTCGCATAGCGCAAAATGTGCCCCCAAAATTAGGAACACACAAAGTATACACGACGGCAAAAGTGAACAAAATGGAAACACTCGCCCCACCACAGAGAATATACACAACCACAAATTGGTGAAGGGTCACCCTAAGAAGAGCGAAAAAAGAGAGTGCCCCGTGGAGAGGCAAAACGGGAATGCAACAGGGGGGGCCCAGAATGAGAAACATTATTATGAGGTTCCTGGTGATGGGCAAATGGGTAGAGGACTGGACGGTCATTTTTCCAAAGAGGTGAAAAGCGCGCAAGTGGAAAATAGGAACAAGGCGTCTAACAGAGACGCGGGGGGAAAGCTCCACAAATGGTCCAATGAAAGGGGAAAAGCGCTCGCCTCAGCTGTTTCAAGCAATGTGACCAGAAGGAACGATGATAAGGGTGTGAGTACGGGGGAGAAAAGGGTCGACAGCAAAACTGCGAGTGTAATCAAGGGACAGGGCATGGTCGGGCGCGCTGACAGGCACGCAGACAAAATGGTCAGGAGCCACTTGGTGAGCGCGGCCGACATGGACACGGTAAAGATGGACCATCGCAGAATGCAGCATGTTACACCCCAGAAAAAGGAAACGGTCAAGTGGAGGAAGCGAGCGGGTAACGCAGGTGCAACGGCGAAACGTGTGGACTTTTGCGGGGCTTACTGCCACGACGTCACAGGTAAGAAAAACGCTCCAAAAAAAAAGTCCTTCGAAAAAACGCCCTTCTACGCACATACAAACATTATGAACAAAATTGCTTACCCCCCCTTTTTTTTTCGTTCACCTTTCCCCTTATCACCAGCAACTGTAGAAAAGAAGAATTTAAAAAAATGAGTCCACGTTGGAATATTTTTTCATGCCATTTTTGGAAAGCCTGATGATGAAGAGTGGAAATGCCAAGCTAACCTGAGTTCAATTCACCTGACGTGGTCAGGTAAAAAAAAAAAAAAAAAAAAAAAAAAACAGCTGCGCCCTTGTGGACACGTCCCATGAGGATGTTTTGCGTGTGTGCAAAATGGAAAGCGCTGGGAGAGGGAGTTTCTTTCCGTTTGTTAGTATAAGAAGCAGGAGGTTTGGCATGAAGGATTCAAATCGCGTCCCTTTGGGTTATCCGGGTTCAGCGCGTCATTGCGCTGTGTTGTGCGATTTTCATTTTTTTTTTTTTTTTTAATGCGGAGTGGAAGAAACAACGGGAGAAGACCCCTCCTTGAGCAGTTCTGCGAGGCGAGCCAGACATACAAATGGATGGGTCCAGTGAGCAATCTACCTCCAACCCGGAGAGTACAATTTCTTTTCCGTTGTTAGCATCGGCCCCCCAGTTGGAGCGCGCATTCGTGTACATGCAACATGTACGTGTGTGCATATGCTTCCCCGTCTAGGGGATGCACAACGGGGGAAAGGGAAGGGAAAAAAAAAAAAAAAAAAATCCACTTTGCGCGCCACATAATTAAAAGTTGCGTTTTTCAACGAATTGTTTTTGTTTCCCTCTGTGGGTGTGTCAATATGTGCCTCCTACTTCGTTTTAATTAACTACCGCGTGGTTCACGCTTCCCCTTTTTTAAAAGCGACACGTGTCCCTCTTTTGTGTAGCCATCTACATCCCCACGATGTGCCTTTTGTCATTTTGTCTTTTTTCATATGCTTGTGTTATTTATTTTATTTTATTTTATTTTTTGTTGACAACGCTGTTTTTAACCTACTCGCATGTGCGGAAAGGTAAAACGCCAAAAACGTCTTTACCATTGACGCAATTCTGTGTCCAACGTTGTGCATGCCCTTTTTCGGGCGTAGCTGTCCCATGGGCTGAAGAGGAAAGGGGACTCTTCCTACCCGTCTACCGCCCTCCACCGCCTTAACATTATTTGGAGGTCACAATTGGAAGTATTTTTTTTTTTTTTTGTTCCCCCACTGGAGCTGATACAAGTGCTGACTTCGCCCCCCCGAGTACACACACACATGCCCACACAGGGCCCTATCGGTCCAGACAAAGCAGTTTTTCTCACAGACCCATGTTGCTATACTTGGCGGCATCAGACATATGTTGCACATTTTAACAATTTAAAAAAAAAAATAAATAAATAAAATAATTTACCCAGTGGAATACATAAGCTTCTCCCAAAATAATCATTTAAAATAATTGTGAAAGCGTTGCAAAAATGGTATAGCAGGTACGAACAATTTTTTTTTTTTTCCCATCAGGTGCAGCAGAGGTGCAAAAGGTATGCGCCTGCGAAATGGGATGAGTTATGGGTAGTTTTTTTTTGTTTTTGTTTTCCCTTCATGTTAAGAGGAAAAAAAAAATTCATATATGTCCCATGTGCACGTGCACATTCACGTGCGTGTTCGCATTCCTGTGGACACATTTTTTTTTTTTTTTTTTTGAACACATGTTGGCTGAAGTGCACTGGCATACACATGTAAAAATGTAGTACGTGTGTGTGTGGAGGGGAACGAACGTGTAACCATTTGGGCACATGCCGAGATAGTACCACATTTGTGTACTCCTTCCCTCCGCGACGTTTTTTTTGTTTTTTTTTTTTTTTTTTTTTGTTAGACTTAATCTGTCTTAAGAGGGGACACCTCTCTACCTTTTTTAAATAAAACTTTAGCAGTTGCTACACTTTTTTTTTTTTTTGGTGAAAGGCAATTGTCTTTTTTCACCAAACAGTGCAAAGTATATGTCCTTTTTTTTTTTTTTTTTTTTCCATCCATTGTTAGCCACACCGTTTTGTAAACCCCTGCCACCTCCCCACACACACACACAGATGAAGTGGCTAAGTCTATGTAGAAAAGTAAAGGATACTGAAGCAGTTTTTTTTTCCTGTGTGTATACCATGCTTGCGTGTGGGGTGAAATGTGCTTGGGCGTTATCAGAAATGAGAGGCATACTCTCAATATCGCCTTAAGGTGTAGAACTTGTCCTATGTGCGCCTGGGGGGGAGGGGCCTCCCTACATAAGCCAGCATACGCACAAAAGGGGTACACTTCCACATGGGTACGTACTGACGCACTCACGCACTCAGTGACGCATGCTTCTCCCCAACTGCTGACCCCGCCGCGCCTCCACCATGCTCTGGACCATAAAGAGGAGGGCCCTCATTTTCACCTTCCTTTCATACGCCTCCTTTGTGTATTCAGACAAAGCAGTTAACATAGGAAAAGGGTTGCTGGGGGCGGTGAGCGCGGGGTTAAGCGAACGCTTGGCTAACAGCGTCACCAATGCTGTACACCATGCACCCGGGGGAGGGGGACACAATATGCAAACGTGCCAATCGGCCGGATGCGCGTCATATAAAAACATCACGCATAACGATACAGGAGATTGTTTAAACGGGTTCATATGTAAACAATGTAAAAAAACCCACGCGAAGAACCCAAACATTTGCTTCTATTCATCCCTCCAAGGGTATGAAAATCTGTACGAAGCACATTTAGAAGATTTTACACAAAACACACCATATGACAATTTTAAAGTGCCAGTGATTAAGTCAAACAAAAACCAGAGCAATAAAAAGGACGCCTCAAGTAACAGTGGTAAGGACGACAACCCTGGTGACCAATCGGGCAGTCACACCAGGGGTACTCGATTACAGGAGGAAGACGATGATGAAGAAGAAGGAAAACTTCAACATGGTCATAAAGGTCGCAATCCAGGAGGAAGTCGATATAACCAGGATTCAGAAGAGCAGGGAGACGAAGAACAGGAAGAGGAGGGGGAGGAGGAAGGTGAAGAGGAAGGGGACACAGAGGACGACTCTGATGCGAAAGAAAAACGTGGTGCAAATAAAGGAGACAACTCCTCTCAGGGGAAAAACAAAGGAGGAGACAATTCTGAGGCAAATTCTGAAACGGAGTCATTTCTGCAAAAACATTCTGACCGCGCTCATAGCAAAATTGACTTACAAGAGTTGGTGAAAAAAGGAGAGACGCCACTGCACAGTGGGTCGAGGTGTGGTGAATCGGGGCATGCAACAGCGAACACCCACATGTACCTTCACATCAACGAGGACGAATACAATAATTCAATTTTCGAATCTCCCATCACCGCTATCTCCTCGCAAAACGCCGACTCCAACAGCTACTCCTTCGCCCAGTCCAAGCAGCACAAGCAAAAGATAGTATACAAACGACTCAAAATAAATATTAACAAACATGAGGAATATTTTAAAAGCAAACTCGACAAATGTCACGTGGGGCAAGATGACATGGCTACTTTTTATGTGAAAGTGCTGCTGCAGATTGTGAAGGACAAACACGATGTCTACTTTGACGTGAGTAGGAAGAATGCTTCGTCGCATGTGGACCCAGGGGCCCATGGACACAAGGGCAATGAGGGGAACAAGAGCAACAACAGAGGGGATTCGTGGGACGACAAGAAGGGGGAGGATTCGGAGGACAATGATGAGGATGAGTACATGCGCATGCCCAACGGTGGCAGGGGAGCGGCAGGGTACAATTATATTTCAGATGAAGAAACCGACACTGAAAGTGATGGAGAGGGATCCAAGGGGGGGTACTCCTATGTGCAGTTGCATGGTGCACGAGGAACCGGTGCAGATGTATACGTCACAAACACGGTAAACACTTCTCACAACACAAACGAACCGCACTCCTTCTACCAAGTGAAAGACGACCTGGACGAAGACTCCATGGGCGACTACTACAAGTCCAGCAACGGGTTCTTCAAATCAATTTTCAACAGAGTCTTTAAAAGAAAAAGAGATTCAGAGGAAGATGGAGACGGGGGGGCCGACGACGACAGTTATGAACAGCCCCAGAGGAAAAAGAAAAGGAGGTGGAGGTTCCCATGGAACAGACGCAGCGGGAAAAATAAACAACTACAAGGTGGCGACGATGAAAACGATGATGAGTATGGCCGTGAAAACGTGTCACGCAGCAGTCGGCGTCCTAGTGGAAAAAGAAGGAGACTGTTCGGCCGCTCCAGTCGAGAGAAGGAAGAAGAAGAGGATGACAACAATTATAATAATGAAGATGACGATAATGAAGAATCAAGTGGGACCTATGGTCATACCAGGGATGGAAAGAAAAAAAGCAAAGGAAAAAAAAAGGGACAAGGAACCAAGGGAGGAATATTACTTGCGACTAAATCAAAATTAGGCAATCTCTTTACTAAAGCCAAAAATAAAATCATCCCAGTGAAACAAAAGTTACACATAGAAGCGTTTTTTAATAGCATCATTGTGAAGTCATGTAGAAATGCAATCAAGTGGGAGGGAAACATGTTTAAGGACAAATCGCTCGTCGAGATGACTCTCAAGGTCCCTGTTAAAATGAAATACATAAAAAAAGAACCGCTACACTTTTTCAGATCTGGTTACGAAGTTATTTTAACGTGTCGTAACTGCGATGAGGTTCTATTCAATTCGTGTGTGCAGGTACGAAATCATACACACATATGCATACATACATATATATATGTATGTATATATATGCATATGTATATATATGGGGGGGGGGGGGGGCAAAAAAAAAAAAAAAAAAAAAAAAAAAAAAAAAATGCGGCGAACTCCGTGGAAATTTCCTCACGGAAAACAAACATGCCACATATAAATGAACCGCATCTATGTAGTATAAAAGCGCCTCCAACACCTACCCTTCTGTACACACTTACGCACGTACTAATAGTTACATTTGCTTGTTCCTGCTCTCTTCAACCTTCTCACACACACACACCTTTTTTTGCAGGTGTACTGCATCAAAGAAGCGAGCAAACAGGAACACCCGGTGCAGAATCACAGCGGGCACACGGCAGGAGGTGCATTGGGGAACGCTGCCGCTTCTGCTGCCGCTTCTGTTGCTGCCGCGGGAGCAATCGCAGCTGGTACCGCCTCCCAATCGCCATACCTTTATTCAGCCAACCCTTCCGACTTCGCCCCACTATTAATGTTTGATTACAACGGTCAGCACTTCCCAGGCAATGTAAACTCCGGCGAAGATATTTATAACAGTGAAGGCCACATCTACGTTAGCTACTCGGTTATACTCGTCACACTCATGGTTGTCCTACTTGTGTAGGTTGGATCAGCGGTGAGATATATCTCCTCTGAGGGGAATGTCCATATGCACAACTGAACAGGGGGGCAGCGGATGTGTCACCACACTGTGCATACTAACCGTACGAAAATGGAATTTCCTTTCCGTGTTAGTAAAATGTCAACCCTTTTAGCAGACGTGCTTCATCACATTCTTCCCCCTGACCAGCTTCTTCTGCATGTAACGAAACTTCCTCTTGGTGACCTGAATTTCTTCGGGCTCGGCGGGGTCCTGCGAGAAGTGATCTAGGTCCACCCTTACAGACGCCTCGAGCAGCTCTCCGGGGGACGCGCCAGACCGATATACGTGCGCATTCAGAGCGAGGTAAGACGGCATGAAATTGTAAAGGAGCTTCCCAGTGATGAAATCCCGAATGATAAGTCTTGTGGCAAAGTTAAGATTCAAAAGTCCTCCTTTACCCCCGGAGACGTATCTTCTAGAAGCACAAAAAGCACTTAAAAATTGCGTTGCATCTAAAAAATCATGGGTTCTTTTTTCGAACCCATTTTGTCCTGCATCTAACTCAACCTCACAAATCAGCCTTTTGTCAATTCTGTACTTGTCACACAACTGGTGAGGAATAATGTTACACAATATTTGAACTAACTCGATTAAATTTCCTTTATAATGGTCCACTGAAAAAACTCCATTAAGAATTAAATCGTACTTACTAAACACCAGAGACGGGAAAATCAATCCCGGACAATCACACAAGCAGAACCCATGACGCTTCAACGGAATTGTTTGAAAATGTTTCGTCTTCCCTGGCTGTCTACTCACACTAACCTTCTTTAACCCAACTAGCGAATTTATAATGGAGCTTTTTCCCACATTAGGAAAACCAATAAACCCTACGGTAAATTTGGGCACACTGTAGTCTCCTATTTCAATGTCGTGGTACTCACCTCTTTTTTCATTTTTAATCTTTTGAATTAAACTCACCATCTCGTTTGTGCTTAATATGTCTGTTTGATCATTTTTCTTTTCCTCGTAGATGAGCTTTCCGTGCCCCACATCGATGGCGGCTTCCTTTTTGTGGTCGTCCTGGGTGACAGGGGCAGACAAATGCACATGCTCTGAAGCTGGCCGTTCCGCTGACTTCGTGCACGGCCGTTGCGTCGAGTTCGTGGACGACCGTTCCGCCGCCAACCTGTCCTCCCTCTTTCTTTCCGTGCTCCCCTCCCCTGACAGCCTATTGCTGTACGCCCCTGGACGCACGGGCAGGTCCTCAATAATCACCTTATTCTGGTGGTATAACTCCCTCAAAGCAGAAAAAAAAATAAATTTCACTCCCCTCTCCTGAAAAAAGCAGGACCATTCCTTCCTCTCCTCATAGGTTAAAAAGTCCGCCTTATTTAAGACGATGTAAAATTCTTTCCTGGGGTCGACTTTTCTAATGTAATACTCTAACCCCTGGCAGTAAAAAAAAATGGGATTTCTCGCATCCATGATGTAAAGGAGGACGTGACTTTTCTCAACCACTCTCCATAGCTGCCTCCAGTACTCTATGTTCTTTTCGTACGGAGTGATTATGTACCCTTCCTCCTCTTCTATGACGCTAAGCAACTTCCTCCACTCGACGAAATGCTCTAGCTCGTACTTGTCCACGGTCTCCTTGTTCAGGACCTCCTGCACGTTCAGACGCTTGTACTTTTTCCCCAGCGCCTCGTACATGCGCATGTATTTCAGGTTCTGCGGGGCTTCCGTATCTGCACCTTCCTGGGCATCCTCCTCCGTATCGTCCTCTTCATCTTCATCCTCCTCCGTGTCTTCCTCTTCATCTGCATCCTCCTCCGTGTCTTCCTCTTCCTCTGCTTCCCCGTGCGTATCGTCCTCTACATCCTCGTCTTCCTCCACATCCGCGTCATCCTCCTCTGTATCATTCTCCCCTCTCGCCTGATCTACATTCCCCCCCACTGCAACTGCTTCCTCGTTTACATCCCTCTTCTCCTCCGCGCCCGCTTCACCCTTCGGCGCCTTCTTCACGACCCGGCCCTTTCTCCTGCGCGCCGTCTCCCCCTTGGTGCTGCGCACGTTAATGGGTATGAGGCTCTTGCCGCTCATCAGGAAGCTAATCTTATTCACGTTTGTCCTCTTCTTTTTCTTCTTCTTCACTGGAGCATTCTCCCTCTCGTGGAGAATTATGTTGACCTTGTCTTGGTGCTTCAAAAGAAATGGTCTACCGGGGATGGGCAGAACGATATTCTGAATTTTCAAAAAATCTTTCCCCTTATCGTCCCCATCTCTTAACTTTTTTTTTTCTTTTATTTCATTTTTCTGTATAAACACTTTGCTCACTTCAACGCTGTTAATAACTAACTGGTTATCCAAATAATCATCAACGGGGGTCTTATCCAGGACGGAAATCTGTTTGCTCACTTTTTTTTTATCATCATGTCCTATATGTGAATATAAAAGGTTGTCGGAAATTTCCTTCTGTAACAACTTGTTCCGCATTAAACTTCTCCCCATAAAGTTGTTGTTCTGCTTCGTTTTGTTTTTTTTTTGAAATCCCATTTTTGTTCACATTGCCTGTTCATATGTTTTTTTTTTTTTTTTAAATATGAAAGAGAAAAGAAGCTGATATATCATTCTCGTCCGGTTACAAATTTGGCGATATATACATATATACCAAATTGGTGTTATTATAAAATATTCTTGTCCCTTCCCCACCTCTTGTCCTTTTTTTCTTTTTTTGTTGTTTCCTCTTCTGCCCTGGCGACGTGGGGGCGCATGTATATATATACCATAATGAATGGATGGTATGCTTTTTCGTGGTTTTTTTCTTTTTTTTTTTTTTTTTTCTTAAGTCGTGTGGAGATACTTTTACAAAAAAAGAAAAAAAAAATGCCATTCAAATTCCGTTGTGGGGAAAATCGGCCAAGTGCTTTTTCGCTCTATACTTTTGTAAGTGCTCGCGTGACGCCTGCCGCCTATGGACGGGGTGACATGCATTTAATATATATATGTGGAATAAATACTTTATAAGACTCCTGGGGGGGCATTCGTTTTGCCCATTCTACAAATAATAATATCCCGCAGCCTCTTCGAACTCATTTTTTCCATCACTGGGCACCGGATGAACCGAACAACCCACTCGGTTAAACCTGTAAATTTTGGGGGTATTTATATGCGTTTGAAAAAAATTTCCATTTGTTGTTTTTTTTTTTTTTAATCCGGTTTTTTTTGTTTCTTTTTTTTGTTTTTAATATTTTTACCTGAACAAGTCAGCACGTTTTTGTTCATTAGATAAAAATGACAGGCACCCGAACGAGCATCTCGAAGTGATATCCCTGTCATTAAATTTGTTTTTCGTTTGGGTTTTTTCCGCTTTGTCATTTTTCCCTTTCTGCCCGTCCCGCATACCCATAGAGTACAACCGCATCGTTCTGGAAAGAAAGGAACGACTAGCCAAGTGGTGACGCACTTGTAGCTCCCCGCAACCCTTTTTCCTGATCGATCTGCGTTAAAGGTTTTTTTTTTTTTTTTTGTTTGTTCGAAAATTAAGCATGCATAATTTACTCACGTGTACATCCAATCGTAAGACTAAGAACAATTCAAACCAATTTCAAGCAAGTCAACCGAGAAGACCGTTTTAGAGGAGTGAAATAAACACAAAGAGAATAAATAAAAAAGCGACCCATGTTTTTTCCCCAAGAATGTACAAATTTATAAAGCCATAAAGAGGGGGGGAAAAAGAAACTAACAGCTGAAATGACAAAAGAAAAAAAAAACGGAGGAAGACGTCCGTTTTGCAAAAACTGTTCAATTATACATGATAGAGGCGAAGGGAACAATCCCGATTGAGTAGCGATTACCATTTGGATAATGACGAGCTTGTTCCCCCATCCTCACAATACCACACACATATTGCGGAATAAAAAAAACATCAAAACAGACTTACGTAGACCATTCGTGCATGCCACATAGGACACTGTACAAGGAACTGCCTCGCAAGTATACCTATACACGTGATTGTTCCGACTTGCATTCTTAGCTTCACCCAACACCATTAAGGACGACTCACATGAGCAAGCATATATACTAGAGTGATGCTCATCCTAAGAAAGACAACAAAAAAAACGAACTATACCGTTTCAGACACATAAAAAGGAAAATGCCACCTTTCACTCTCGAAAGGGACACAACACGTAAAGGACATCATTTGCATGTCACCTGACTCTGTTCAGAAGGGAAGAAGCTTAAAAAAGGAAGAGACACTGGGAACAGATTCACAGTGCGGGGCGTAAAAAATCAACAAGGGTGTTTTTATGTATGTGGGGGGGAGAAGACGTATGTAACAACGGAAGAGAAAAAAAAAAAAAAAAAAAAAAAAAAAAAAAAAAAACGGAAAGGATAAACATTGTGAGGGAAGAAATCCATTTGAGTCATATAAAAAATGAATTATTTTCCATTAAAGGGAAGGGGGAAAAAAAGACAAATTGGAAAAGTTGCCATAAGGGAATGGACAAAACAGCTTATCCATTCCACTGAAGGATCGTAAGGCAATCTGTTGCATTGGGCAAAAGGATATCCTTGTCCCTGACCCCCACTTGGCAGGAAAAAAAAATTTTCTTCCACTTTTCCATTTGTCTTTTCGCCTGACTTGTTCATAATTTCTTTTTTTTTGTTTGGCTTGCCCCCCCTTCCTGGAAAAAACATTTTTCTGTTTCTCCCTAAAATGATGTGGACACTCGATTTTGACACAAAATGGGATACGCATATAACAATAAAAGAAGAAACAAAAACCTGAGCTGCTCCGATGTTGGTTATTATTTAAAAGGAAAAAATCCCCACAAAAATAGCACAGAAAATAAATCAGTCGAATTGTATGATCAAAATGTTCCTTATGGAGGCACGTTCCACACACATAACGATAGGCTGCTTGGAGGACAAGGAATGGGGAATTTTTACAGAAGGATGGACAGGAGGACAAACCATACATACAGTTATTGTAGAGAGGATGGCCCAAGAAGGAATGCTGGAGACGTTACTTACGTCTTTTACGAGCCACTCAAGTATCCTGCCTTTAAGATGGCAGATAGGCGAAGTGAGGGAGACGCCCAAAATGGTGATGTGCAGGAAGAAGCCACAAAGGGGAAGGAACGAGACACATTCAAAGAGGATAAAGTAGTACCCCCTGTGGATGACCAAAAGGGAGAAAGCTGTGAACAACACAAACAGGTTAGTATCACCACTACGAACTTAACCCGTGTATGGAGGACGAAGAAGGAAGGGGAAGGCAGCTCGGGGGAAAACGCACATGTGGGGAAACTGCGAAGGGAGGAAAGGCAAGCAGATGGAAAAATGGACCACTTCAATACAAACGCCGCGCAAATGGAGGAGCAAGCGAACACACCGTCCTCTGCCGCAGCGTGTGATATCTCCCCCAGCAGAAGGAAGAGAGAAAAACAAAATTTCTTCATCCCCATAACACTGCCAACACTACCTAAACACCCAAGTCAAATCACCAACGAAGTGAAATTTATTTTACACATGACCATCTTAACCCTCTACAAAGACCAGATCAAACCTACATACAAAAAGATTAAAGAGCGACTAGGAACTGTTCATCATCAGAATGAAGAACTTAAAAATAATTTTATGGAAATATGTTTGTCTCTTCAAAATGAGTACCTGGTTGTGAAGTCTAAGAGGAATCATATTTTTATTTTGTTGAGGGAGACTCCTAAATGGTTTAGTGGTTGGATCAAGACACGAAGCTTTACCAATCCCTATCCTCAAATAATGTGGAGGAAGTTCGCTCGACATCTTCTGCATGTATGCAGGGCGGGTGCTGGAGGGGGCAGTCAGGCTTCCTCGCAAAGTCAGCTTACTCTACAATTTGCTAAACATTTGTGTAGAAAGGGGCACTTGTTTTTTCATAATGCGAACACTCTGGAAGGGGCCCTCGGTTTGTTTAAACAGGATAGTCCCACATATGGCACATTTGAGCATGATTCAATTCCACCCTGTACTGCTCTACATGGTGAACCTCTTGGCTTCGCCAGAAGACTCTTCACTTTCAACCTCCTCCACAACAGCTTCTCCTACTTCTCTCGCGTAAATGACGCTGCCGTGCGCATGGTCGAGAGCTCGCTCGTCGCTCTGTACCAGTCCATTTTAGCCGACGAGGGGAACAAGGCGGCCAGTAATGGGGGGAGGAGCAGTGAAGAGGCGAGCAGAAGCAGCGATTCACCTGTCGCATCGGCACCCCCCTGGGAACTGGACAACGACATATACAAAGCGGCAGATGCACTGAAGAAGAGGGGCCTCCCTTTTTTCAGAGACTACTCGGTAGGAAAAGTAGCACATATAGTTCAGCTCGGCCTGTACGGAGGCCTGCTCCACGAGGAGGGTCAGGCGATCAAGCCCGCCTCCTGCTGCAGGGGCGTCGCCGCGTCGGTTTGGGGGGGGCCCCCATGTAGCAGCAACATGAGCAGTCAAATTAGCAGCACACTTAGCGGCCACGTGGACAACCCCCAAAAGATGAACTTCCGCTTCGTCGAACGGCAAGGCCCCCCGAGGGAAGACACAACCGGGGCACAGACCAAGGAAGCGCCCTATATGCGAATCTTCAAAAGGGACACGCAAGGGAATGACCATAACGCAGTTTGCAGTGACGCCCATTTTTTGTTTCAAAACGGGGCAGGCAGCTCCAAAGCGGGAATGCCCGAAAGAGGAGTCCCCCTAGTACCTACCGCCGAAGATGCTAAAGAGAAAATAAAACAGCTGCTAAAAGGAAGTAAAGAAAAAATAATATACTTTTGCTCATTTAAAGATAATTTTTTTAAAAGGTTTGAACAAGTCATAAGTCCTGTCCACTTCAAATGTCGCAGTTTAATTGAGTTCCTTTTTTTTCACTGCCAAGATGTGTGCAAGCTATTTCTCCTGAACAGCAATATCATTTTAGTGAACCCTAGCTACGATGAGCAATCTGTAATGGCTATTGTGAGAGAGCAGAAGGAGAAGGAGGAGGAAGAGGAGGAGGATGCAGATGGGGATGAAAATGTAATTGAGCAGTTTAATTACGCAGACTACGTCTCCACTGTGTCGTATGCTAAGAACAACGCTAATAACAACGCTCATAACAGCGCGCAGACCCAACAGGGGGGGCGTCTTCAAATCTGTGCAGCGATGAAGGACCTGGGGATGAGGAAGAACGACAGTTTCTTTATTACCTTTTCCTTTTGGAAATGTGCAGCGGCAAAGGGAAAAGCGCCCACGCGGTGAAGAAGGAGGAGGAAGAAAAAAAAGTGAACCGCTGTAAAAACCTGTAATGTAACGTAAAAGCTGCGTACCAAGGAATACAACCACGATTTGTGCACTGAGGGGAAGGAAATTCAGTTGTGCACGTCGCAACAGACGAACGGGGAGATGTCACTCCGATACAAGAATTCTCTTGGCGCAGTTTACCCAAACGGGTAACCCCTGTATAAATTGTTATACCCTTTTCCCGGACCCAGTTCGATGTAATTTATATCTAACCCCATTGGAGTGTGTGTGTGTGTGTGTGTATTTTTTTTTTAAGAGTTTACACCCTGGGTGTGCTGGTAGCTCTCATTAGACTCCTTCCACACGTGACGTTGGATGCGAATGATTTAGCTCCACGTCGTGGGAAGGTATGTGTGTGTCACAAAGCGGTGATGCCAAATGGGGGAGGGAACAAAAGGAGTGAAGAAGAAAAAACCATCACTCAGAAACAGTCGCAGGAGTAATGTGCGTGTGATTGTGGCGCAAACCTTCCCCAAATTCCTCCCCCGCCCCCATTCACCTCATAACCATCACCATTTTTTAGCATCCTTGCCCGTTTACTCCTCGTGTTGGAGCCCTGTGTTTGGATACCCGATCCTTGTTTTCCCATCCTGTCACATTTCTTTTTTTTTTTTTTTTTTTTTTTTTTTTTTGTTCCGTTTCACCTGTTAGTGATAAACCGGAGTTTGTAAATTCCCCGCCATGTAACTGCCTTTGTACCCACTGCATGGCTTTTTTTCTCTTTTTCAAAATAAAACCCATCAATTAAAATGTCTACCCCTTTGTGGTTCCCATTTTGTTTTTAGAAGCTTATTCAGTTCAAATGGGTGAGCAAGCTGTTGTCACTTTTTTTTTTTTTTTTTTTTTTTTTTTTTACGAGCCGTTAATTCATTACTAGTACAACACGCGTAGTGGATACAAAAAAGGGGGGTTAAAAAATTATCACTCCGTGTCTGCCCCATTCCGCGACTGTGTGTCCGGTCCAATTGGGGAGGTAAGGTCATATAGGGCGCCGGTGTCACCGACCACCACCTCGCAACGGTCTCGTAACAACCTCGTAACGGCCGCGTAACCACCGCTTGGCCCCCTCCTAGCAGGTCAACTCGCGCAGACAGGTCTCTTTGAACTGGGGGAAGTCGCTGTAGTCGAGGGTCTGGCTCTGTCCATCCAGGTCGTACGACACGAGTTCCGGTTGCGGTGGGTCCAACTCGTGACTCTTGGCCTGTTGCTCAGATTCCTGAATGAAGTCTTCCATTCGTTTCAGTTGTGCCTCGTTGAAGCTCTTGAGATCATTCAAATGGGGATTCAATTCCTTTAGCAGGTAGTCGGTCTGTTCAGGAGTCAGGTCCACATATTGAACAGACTGTTCCACTTCATCTAACGTCTTTGCTGATAATGCAAAGTACCGAGGCACATAAACATTAACCGGAACTAAACGTGGGACATATTTTTCAACTTCCACTTCTATCTCCTCATTAGACGTAAGGATCTCTGGTTGCACAATCTTTTTCAAAACAACTTCTGTTTCATTTTCCACAACATGTGGAACTACATAAGGCACATTAACCTGATTATACACAGGTCTTTTTATTTCCTCTCCACTCGGAACCTCAATCGTCTTCTCAACATAATTTGTTACTACCTTAGGGTTATATTTAGTAACGTACTTTGGAACCTCCACGTACACAATTTCTTCCCTTTCCACATCCTCTTCAACATCGAGGGAACTTTCATACACTTCTATGTACTGGTAGTATGTCGTGATGAGTATTTTTTCCTTTACAACGTAATTTTCAACCTCTTCTGTTCCTTCCAAGTATACTGTTGGGTCAATTTTATACTTGGGGTTACTTTTGTATAAATCCAGCTGCTTTAAATAATCTTCTAAATGTGTCTTTAAGATTTTTTGAGCACTCTCTGTTGGGTAGTTATACAGAGCGTTCTGTGGGTTACTTCCTACCTGTCCTCCATCTGCTGAGTCAACTGTCTCTCCTCCCTTGTCCCCTTTTACCGATTTTATATCTCCTCCCACATTTCCCCCACCATGCTTTTGGCTCAGGGATTCCATATCTTCAATGTCCTCCCCCAGATCGTTCATGGTTTCTTGGTATTCCAATGAAGAGTTTTTCCCCTTGTCCATGTTACAATGTTTAGTTCCTCCGGGCCCAGGCGTCTGCGGCGCTCCTCCGTGCTCTCCGATCCCCTTTGGTGGACCGCTTTCTACAAAGGGGGGGAAGGAAAGTGCGCACGGAGTGCATTTCGTTTGATCTACCACAAGACGTGCAACGCTCGCGCTCTTCGCCAAAATCGTGTAACGTGCTAATAAACTGGTTAACTCCCTCTCTCACACGGGGGCACCTCGGGACAGACTATTCACCTTTCGCGTTTCTTACCAAATG